GGGGGGGGGGGGGGAGAGGAGAGGAAGTGAAAAGGGGGAGTATTATTACTCGGGTACACTCTCTACACATTTTATTAGTGGTCGCAGTAGCATTGAAAGTGCTAAAGGAAAAAAGCACTTACATTACTATCAAAGACATTTAAATCCTTACTTGCTCTCCAAGTTTATCTGTCGAGCTTGCACTAGTCCCAGCAGCAGAGCAGAGGGTTGGAATGTGCTCTCCTGTAAAGCTTGTCGCTCCTCACGGCGCATGCGTGCCAGCTGCGCGTGACGATGTTGTTCGTTTTCAAATTTGCTGTCTGCTCCGCGTACATCAGCTAACAACGCTTCTGATTCATTGTTGACGCGATTCTACAACAAACGTGAGAATGTGAAATCCTGTTAACTTGCTAAACTTAACCACCACGTACTACTTAAGCCCTCAGATCGGATACGCAGACATCCCTGGGATATTACATTACCTGATCCCCTCTCCCAGTCAAAAGCAACAAATTATTTCTTCTGAACATCCGTATTGTACATAATTTTCAGAGGGCCACTGGTATTTTAGTGCTACCCTCTTTAAATAAAGTCTTTACTTACTTACTTTTTTACTTAATTGTAAGACCCCGAGTTGCTGTAGAGCTTCTTAAACATTTTAAAGTGATTTTTGTATGTTCACTTGCATTATATGAGAGCAATGGTGTGTTTTGGTTATGATTAGAGAGTTTTACTTTGCAGAATTCTAGAACATACCCTAATCTCTCAGGACGCAAAATAGCTTCCAAACATCACCTCAGTCTTTTTTCTAAACTAATTTCTTCCTAAAATAGCCCCCATTCCGTGTTTTGAACTGAAACAAGCCCTGAGCTAACTCAAAGGAATTTGACTACGTTATTCTCCGGCTTCGGAGTTTTGTACAGGCTGAAAAGCAAGATGGAGTGCAACGTTCAATTTTCTCGTTAATAAAGGACATTTGGAAATCCTTATCGGGCACGGCATTCTCTGCAATTTGACAATGACACAATGCGGTTACAAATTTACATACCTCAAGATCTTGAAGCGTGTTTCCTGTAGATTTTTGAAGTGCCTCTTGTTCTGCTTGAGCATCCTCTTCAGCCTCTAGTTTAGCGATCTCCTCTTCTGATATTCCTTGAGCTTTTCTTTCCTCGCGTTTCTGTTGTCGTTCTTTCTGTCTTTGTTTCTGCTGGGCTCCGTTGTCGCCCATTAGAGACATCAAATTGACAGCTGTCATTTGACCCAAAAGCTGTTGTAACTCGTCATGTTTACCTGCGGATCAGACACGAAAATTAAATCTGCTGTTAGAGTAATTACACCCTTCTAAAATAAAGTGACACTTAACAACTATTGAACCGAAAAAGAGATATAACTCAACTCCCGTAGTAGCGTTTCTGTGTTGTGTTGTCTCGTGCAAAGATCAGCAAAAAAAAGAGGTTTAAAATTTGGTCTACTTGAAAAGTGAGAAAAAACAATACCATGCGAAAAAGGACAAGAAATATTTTTTTTCTGTAGGAATCCGATGTCAGTTAATTCCGTACAGCCTCTCAAATCAGTTTCGAAGGGGTGAAGATTTCATTAAACATATAATTCAGGGTTCTTGCTATTTTTCGGTGCAAGGGGTAAAGGAGTTTTCTGAACTGGTAGCAACTGAATCAAAGTGGATTGCTCCAGGTTATAACGAGTGAGGTAATAAATTTACCGTTCACACCTTGACAAGAGGAACTCTGAAGAACATAACTGACTGAAATGTCATTGGTATATGATGTCATACGTATAAGTAACGAAGACATGCGCACTACCTTCTTTCTGTAACGCATGTACTTTCAACTTCATCTGAGCCAGTCTAGTGAAGCGATCATTCTCAGAAAGTGCAGCCCACTCAGTCACGCCAACCTGCTGTACAAGAGCGTCACGCAAAAGCTTGTCTTTCAGGGCGTCATATTTGTAGTGCAGAGCTTGAGACAGCTCACGCTCGCTGGCCGTGCCCCAGATTTCAGCTTGCGTTACAACTGTGGCAACGTTCTGATGGGTGCCTTCTTTGCGTGACTGGAAGAGGTTCTCTTGAAGCTGCACAAGCTCTGTTTTATCCTGTTAGGTTAGGAATTGTGAAAGAGTTAAAACTTGACGCTAACAGCCAGAAAAACACCGTAATTACGTACCCAGAACTCGAAGTATTGGAAGGATTTGCCACACACAAACTAGCAACGTTAGCTGTTTCTTTTAGAGACCCCCAAAAATCTATAACAAACAGTATTTATACCCTGTCGGCCCTTAACTCAGGTAAAAAAGAAGCTTAGCTATGTTGGGATTTTTTACATCATTCTTGGCATGACCAAAATTACCCTCAAACCGACGGAAACACTAAAGATCACGTAAGATCACGTAAGGAGAAAAATAATGAAGATGTAATAAGATACCAAAAAGGAAAAGGGATGGTTAAGAATGGGAAAGATTGAAACGGATTACGGAAAACAAATTCAGTGGAAAAACGTTCCTTCCCTTCCCGGGTAGTTTCTTTAACAGAAATCAGTTACCTTGTCTTGCATCTCGTTGACTAGTTTTTCACTTTCTTGATCCTGCTCTTGCTGCAGATCTGCTAATAAGGACACAATGACATCATCTTTTTCCACAGCTTGCTCTCCGTCTTGAGTTATCTCGAGATACTTCTGTCGGTTAACAACCTTGAAAACTGCTGCTTCCAGCAGTAGGTTCTGGCGAGTTTCTTTGTCCTCTGTAAGGAAAAAACAAGAACACTTCAATACACAACAAAATGGCTGAATTTTTCAAAGGCAACACTTTAACCACCCGCGAACCATGAGGCCACTGCGCGAAGAACCATGAGTTAATTTCCATTCGCTTAATCGCTTAGATAAAGAAAATGCGATCTAATAATCAATAGCAGCTTTTTTGTGAGTAAAGTACTTATCATAGCCTGGGTTTCTTGTTAGTAACAAAAACCATACCTGGATCGAGAGCATTCATTTTATTGCTAAGCTGCTGGAGCCAGTTCTCTCGCTGTTGTTGGGTCATGGTTGCCGCAGCCTCGGCTAATTCTGGTTGTTCTTGTTGCAGAACGTCAAGTAAAGCCTGAAAACAATCCCTTGATCAGCATCAAATTCAGATTTTTTACGACTTAACAAGGGGATAAATAAAACCACTGGAACTCTTGATGTGCTAAAATCTAGGAGTAGAAATATTCCTTTCTAATCAATAACTGGAATGTCACGTAACCATAAGCAATCTTCAGTTTATCTTCCTTTTCTCTAAGATTTACCTGCCGTTCATCTTGATGTTTGTGTTCAAGTGCTTTCATCACAGCCTCCTGTAAAACACTCATGTCGCCATCAGTCACCAATTTATCCTCGGCTTCTTGTTCCTTGGCCTTTCTGCGGTCGCGCAACTGAGCTAGGCGTTCACGCGCCAGTTGTTCTTGTCTCAGACGATCTTGTTTAAGCCTTGAAATATAAAGATTGAAGTTAATTGGTTGTAGCCGTTAACTATTTTCATTTTCAGTCGTCTTACATCCTCACTGGAAGTTAAACCCCTAAGTGTCTAGACTTTTGCATCACCCTTCCCTTCCTCAAACTATTTGGTCATATTATTTCATGTTTCTGAGCAGTTGCCGAATACTTTCGATTACCCAAAGTTTAATATGCTTCCGGTGAAGTTTGAAGGTTTCGTAAAAAATTTCAGTAACACAACAATCACACTGTCCTATATTTTATAGAATCTACGTTTCACTTTAAATCTCCAATAAGGTATTTCATATTTCATCGCCTTTTCTGTTAAATTACCGAGTCATCAACCGTACCTTTCCTGTACAGCGGCTTTCTGCTTTTCCGCCAGCCCCAGTACTAGCGCGGCCGTGGTAAATTTGTCTTCCTGTTTGGCTTTCAGTTTTTCTCGTTTCAGTCGAGCCAGTTCTGCTTGCCTCTGTTTCTCACTCATGAATCGCTCGTCTTGACCTTGTAACCTACGCATAAGCGCTTCCTTTTCTTCTTCGTACCTAAACACGCAACAGCGGTGACAAATTCGTACATTCTCTTTACCTTTTATCACAAATTTTAAGGATTGCTTTGAGATCAATGACCTTATCATACAATGGAAAACGCCTGGATTGAGATCCAAATTCTCCTAATGAATTGTACAACAAATCTTATAAATCTTATAAAAAAGGTACCAGGAATTTATATCAGGAATTTGACGTTATCAATCTGGTTATCAATGTTGCGAAACTTTACTACGTAAAAAATATTATCATACCAAATGAAATTGCCAAAGACTACTAATTGCAAAGTAAATACATCGCTTATCAAATTTTAAGCAGCAGCAAGGACACTGGCATTGTAAAGGACTTAAATATTTAGCTTAAAAGACAATTTCGTTCAGTTTCACTTCTTTGTGGATTACAATTCTCTGCTGATGACGTAACTCAATAGTCATAGAGATACATGTAGCGCCTGTGATTGGTTGTTGCTTAGTTACAAATGTCCGCGCGAACGTAACAACCAATGAGAGGCACAACAAGGATCTCGGCAGAGTGACGTCATCGGTGTGGGATTTCCACCGGTTCAAGTCACATCGTCATCTAGTCTTGAATGTACCTTTTGTCCAAATCTTCCAGAATAGCTTTAACATCAGTAACTTCCTCTCCTTCCGCCATGCCATCTTCTAAGTCCTCGTCGTCCTCATCGTCCACAGGCAGACCTTGAGCCAGGCGTTCCCTTCGTTTCGCTAAGCGTTCCTTCAGTTTCTCCTCGTATCTGTAAAAAACAACAGCAGTCACTTGGTAAACAACACAGAGCGTCCATGTGGTACCGTTGATAATCGTCTTCAGGGCCACGTGATTTTCCCCGTGATTTATACCCAACCGAAACCAGCTGCTAGCATACCTAGCCTTGTTTTCGCCCATGAGCTTCCTGAGATTAGCGTCCATTTCAAATCCTTCTCCCAGTAATCTATGAAGTTCGTCTAGCTGGCCTTCTTTGCGTAATCGTCTTTCCTCTAACTTGAGTTTGACAAGTCGTTTCTGTCGCTCCTGTTCTGACAACGCCGCCCATTCAGCATCCCCTAAAAAATAATATTACACGAATATTACTATCTGTGTTTATATGTATGTTATTTGCCGGCTGGGAGGTCCGTATAGTGAAAAATTGTCACCGAGGTCACGAAAATGCTGCCCAACACCGCGGGCCGAGGGCAGCATTTTCTAGTCCAAGGTCACAGTTTTTCACTATATGGACCGACCCTAAGCCGGTAAATAACCTAATTATTTTTTCCTCTCTCTCTCAAATCACTTTTATCCTTTTCCACGCACACATCGCGCGCGCGTTACCGTGACCGTGGTCAGAGATAGGAAAATCCAGACCGCGCAAAGAACGATTCAGATTGCAGGATTCGTTACTGTGCCCTCTTGGAAAAAAATAAATTACTATCTGTGTTTCTAGTTTGGTACTTCTTGTCTTGCCAGTTTTGTTCTTGCTCTGATAAATTGTACTTCTTTATCTCCAGGACCAAAAGTTTGAATTCTTGAAGGATACGAGAACGTCGATGGCTGACGGAAAGCAGATTAGCTTCCGTTTCTGTAGTGAGTTGAACTCTTAAATTCTCCCTACCGGATTTCGTAATTTTTTCCTAGTGCCGGCTGGGAGAAGTTGAAATCTGCAATGACAAGCTTACGTTCACTTGATAACTTCAACCGTGAAATATTCCTTTTCGGTTTTCAAACTCAGTTTTCTTATAAAGCAGTAACAGTATGGTACATATTGACCAAGTGACCTATTCTTATAAATTAGATGCGTGACTTCTTGTTTCTATTTAAGAAGAAAATAGATACTGATCACTAGTAGACTAACCAAGCTGTTTCTTGAGAGCTTCCAGTAGAAGCTTGTCTTTAAGCGCATCATATTTCTGATCCAGAGCTTTGACCAATTCTTTATCCGAGCCTGTTCCATCATACTCTAACAACACTGTAGCTACGTTCTCAAGGACTTCGTCTTTACGCTCTTGTTCCTGTTTTTGTTTCAAGGCGGACAGCTCCGCTTGGCTCTGCAACGCAAAAGAAAGAAGATTCACTGCAAGAAATAACACGTCCTGGTTAACTGCTCCTCTTCGCTCGATCCGAAGTTCAAATAATTCTGGAAAACATGGCTTCAGTGTTTTTCAGAATCACTTGAAATTCGACCCGAAAACTATAGTGATGTTGTTGCTCTACCAAGATTCTCTTTACTCTTGTTTCTCTAAAGCAAAAATTTGTAGCACAGTTGAAAAGAAAAATTTTCCCTAAAAATTACTTAATTCACCTTTGTATTGTTTTCCCTGTTCACAAGACAACTCAATCTCTTTCAAAACGTTCCCGTTTGGAAAAGTGCTTGAGAAAACATGTAATTTTTTTTCATTGAAAACGATGATAGTTTGTGGGAAAAGGGTTAAAGTTTTTAAATGAAACGCGAACTGGTCACTTTTCGGAATATGCGAAGCCTTTTTTACACGTAATGACTTGTGTTCAGTATCAACCTTTTCCTGAAGCTGAGCCAGGATTCCTTCGCTTTCCTTGTCCTGCTCCTCTTGTAAATCAGCCATGATGGAGACTGTGACCTCCTCGTCATTCACGTCTGTTTCCTTCTCGTTTACCAACCTGAAGCGGTGAACTTCAAATTTGTACGCAGCAGCCATGTCAAGGATATCCACGTGGAGCAACTGATCAACTAAAAACACACAACCGGGAAAAAATAAATCTAACAGAATAATAATTGAGGGATTTGGGGTTAAATAGAAATTTCACATATTGTACAAAGTTCTATTTTACAATAACTGTGTAATCTCTCGCGCGCTGATTGGCTCATTTTTATCATCAATAAGAGTACAGACGGATAAAATTTTAATTTATGCAAGCTTTCAAGTTCAACTTTAAGCTGTCAAACTGTCAAATTTTTAACCAACTATATTTTATTGACTTTTTTTAAGTAGCCAATCAATAAGCGAGAAAAGTTATTGACAATGCTCGCGTCATTTTGAATAAAATTCACTTATCTTTGCTTACAGCAAGTTTACCGCGTCTTTTCCCCTAATTTATTCCCGGCATTTGACCATTTTGGGGTCTTGTTATTGTAAAAAACAAATTTCGTCATAACATTGTCAAAGTTTACTGCGGAACCACTCGCCAGCGGCTCGTGGTTCCACAGCCACTTCGACAATATTATGACGTAATTTATCATCAATAAGAGGACAGACGCATAAAAAACTGACGTCAATTTGTTAATTTCCTCCCGCTTTGAAAGACATCTCCGTCATTCGACTCGAAATATTCCATACTGATGACTTAACACTGCAAAGATCTCTGATTGGCTCCTGCTCAGATTTGAATTTTCGCGCGTAAGTAAACAACCAATCAGAATAATACACGGATCTCTGTAGAGCTACGTCACTCATCAAGTTGAAATTTTCTGGATGGAACGTCAGAAATCTTAGCATCGAGCACGAAAACAAACGCTCGTTAAAGGAGCTAACAAGAAAAGCAACTTAGAAATTCTAGCTGGAACTTACCTTTAACACCCAAGTCCAGTTCTTCTCTCTTTCCTTTCAGCTCGCTGAGCCGTTTTAGCCTGTCATCCTCGCTAATAGCTCTGGCTTCTTCTCTCATGCCCTGACTGCTCTCGTCTTGAAGTAAGCCCATCAAGAATTCCTGCTCTGCACGGTGTTTTTTCTCCAGTGATTTCAGCACGGCATCCTGCCAGCCTTGAATGTCATCTGTGGGCACAAATTAAGATTGTTTGGCCTTCAGGTAGGACTCAAGCCAGTTATTACGCTAAGAAGTTGACCAGGCAGTTGAGAGGAAAATTCTATCTATTTATTAAAGGAACTTCGACACGGTTCGCGCATCTCAAAAAGTCAAGTCTAAAGTTTTCAAATTCGTCGTTAGTAATCCCTATCAATCTTCTCCATCCTCAACCATCCTTGTTCCTTTACGCTTTATCATTATTTCTTAGGTGTTTTTCTATGTTAAAAAACTATTATTTTCAGGCTTCCTTCAATTCAAAGGTAATTTTGTACGTGGCCAGAACTGAGCTCCTTCGAGCAATAACAGTCATGTTACCTTTTTCTGGATCTGGTTCATCTTCATCCTCCTCTTCTTCGGGTTTTCCTCGTCTCTTTCTCCGTGCTAACCGCTCTCTTGCGAGCTGTTCTTGCCGCTCTCTATCGCGTCGTAACCTGATGAAAACAGACCAGCGAACACAACGGTGACGTTCGACCATGCGATTTTTAAGGATGATCTTTATTCATGCTACACACAAAATAACTTGAAACACAAATTGTGGTAAGCGATACTGACTTTCAAAGCCTTAACTTCACGACAAAATACAAAGTTGATTCATTCATTGCAAACAAAACCACTGAGATTCGATCCCAAATATCAAAATACTGTCGACGAAGCTTTGCAAAGATCCGTTTAACAGCAACACCGTAATGAAATTTTTTGGACCGTCTCTCAGACAAGCACCTCACGAGCGATGAATCAGTTTGCGCACGAAGCGAGAAGTCCTTTCGCAAACGCTATCATTTTTTCCTGTTGGCTTTCCAAACTTGTCGGCCAATGAACATCAGGCAGTGAACAATGACAGGCAACTGCATTTGCACGCAATCTTTTTGTTGGCTTTCCGGACCGCTCAGCAAATTAAAAAGCCAGTAAAAGCACGTGCACTTTTCCCGCACGTGACTTCACGCCAGCCTTTCCTCACCTTTCTTCAAGGTTCTGCCTGTTCCTCTCTGCCAGCCCCAGCACCAATGCAGCTTCGTCAAACTTCGACTCCCTTTCCGCTTGTCGTTTCTCGCGTCTGAGACGAGCAAGTTCAGCTTGACGTCGCTTTTCTGCTGCAAGTCTGTCTTGCTCCTCCTGAGGAAACAACGGCGAAAAACGTGTAAGTCAAGGTTGCAGTGCAATAACACAAGTCAAGATCCACTTGCTAAGTGACGCCCCGTCCACACTACGCCACAGAAAATTTGAAAACCCAACAATCACCGCTCATTTTGGATTTGTATTTGAGGAAAACTCGAGGTAGGGAAATCACATGATAAACGTGACTTCATCGTTTTCGAAAAGCTCCGTATTCAAAATGTGTTTCGTCTACGCTACAACGCAAAGCCGGCGTTTTCAAATTCCCCCGGCTTGAAGAAAGCTTTCGAAAGCTTTCGAAAGCTCCGTTTTCATGACGAATTAGTGGGGACTGTAGGCCAAACCGTAGAAATAAAGCTCCGTTTTCAAATTTCTTCGGCGCAGTGTGGATGGGACCCGATTCTTACGTCTTAGTGTTTAACGCCATTTGACACGGGAAACATTTTCTTGTAATCTTCCACCCAACAAAATTGCGTTGTTGCGCGTATTGCCATCCGTGTTGTAAGTTGTGCAACTTGTTGCGCGAGGTAGACATGATTCAAAAGGTGTGCAACTGCATTTTGCCGTAACTTGCAATACAATTGGTATGACGCGCTATAACACTTTTTAACTTACATCGCAAGATTTTCGCACGACAAGTTCCAAGTATGTTACCAGTATTAGCTAAACTACAATACTCAATTTACAGTTTCAAATGAAAATGAATTGAACGAAAGCGGCCTGCGAAGCAAATAAGTACATCAATGCTACAAGGACAGTGCAACAGTCGAGACCAAAAAACCCCTTATTTTCGAAAATAACGCAGCTCAACTGAAACAAAGCTCTCACCTGTAGCCTCCGCAGCAACGCGTCCTTTTCTTCATCAAACCTGTTTTGCAGATCTCTCAGAATGTTCCCAGTGCTGGCAGCTTCTTCTTCATTCAATAGTCTCAGCGTCTCTTCATCTTCCTCATCGGGATCTAATCCTTCTTCTTGCCGTCTCTGGCGCCTTTCTAAGCGTTCTTTCAATCGCTCCAAATAACGCTGGCGGTTTTCTCCCAATAACGCCTTCAAAGAAAATAAATAAAACAGGAGAACTTATTAATTTGAAGTTACTTGCCCCACTAGCAAATGGTTGTTTTTTTTTCTCAAGGCAGCGAGCGAAAACCAATATCAATCTAGTTAAAGACTCTTTTAAAGTAATACTGACTGATAAAAGGAATTGCTAGTTCATTAAAAATTGCATTCATGAAAACAGTTTGGGTTAAAAGCGCCCAAGAGCTGACATATTTTGACAACAGCTTTGCTCTTAATGTAGAAAGCATTTTATTTCATTTTCATTTTCAAAAGAGTTGCGTTGCAGATGGTGAAACTACTCTGTCAACAATACCTGTAATGTCTCGGCGTTTTTCAGTCCCTCTCCTAGCAGAGCCGCGGCATCATCAAACCTCCCTTGTTGTCTTAATCGCCGCTCCTGCAGTTTTAGCTTAGCAAGGCGCGCCTGTCTTTCTTGCTCAGAAAGCCTGGCCCATTCCGCTGCACCCATTTGTTTCTCTAGAGCTTCAAGAAGCAGCTTGTCTCTCAGCGCGTCGTATTTGTCTTCCAGCGCCTTCAGAAGTTCGTCCTCTTGGGAAACATTTTCCTCTGTGCCAAGAAGCACGGCTGAAATTCCGTCCAATAGTTCTTCCTGCCATGATGTATGTTCCTGCTGCCGAAGACGAAACAGTTCTTGAATGTCCTGGGAAACCGTAAAGAAACCAAAGGCATGAATATCTTATTTTTTCAACTAAAAATTTTGTATAATAGAGCTGTTTTCAATATCGACTGTCGTAAAACCAAAACCAAAGAAATCATTCACACTGGCCAATCACAAAGGATACACAATCCAATGAACCAATCAGACGAAGTAACTGTATGTAGCTGACGCAAAGCGCGGGAAAAAGAGTCATGATTGGTTTCGGTTTTACATCTGATTGGATAAAAAAGTGGCGCGAGTTTTTAAGCCAATCGTGTAGCGTAGCAGTGCAGAACCAATTACTTTTCGACACTCAAGTGAAAGCTGCTCTGATGGTAGCCCCATGATTGTACCTTACTGTGAAGTGAAAGAAGCATCTGACTCTCCACTTCTTGTTGATGTTGGAGGTCAGCCATGATGTCTGCCGCTACCTCCAAATCATCAGGAGATGTTCCCCGGATCGCCCTCAAATCTGCACGCCTGTCCTCTACCACCAGCCCAGCGGCCTCCTGTAGAACTGAATAATGTCGCTCTTTGCTGACTAAACGTTCAGTTGAACTTTGATTTCGCCAGCCTTGTTGCTGGGTTCTTAACACAAGCAGCTGGTTGGATCGTTCATCTGAAATGTAAACGGCAAACATTTGATAACCTTCCTATTAGGAACAAATACATTTTCAGAACGAGAACTTGTGCATTGATTGTTACTTGGCTAGTTCCTAGGCCTGGAGAGTCACCGAATGAATTTACTGTGAAGGCCTGGGAGAAAGCTGTAACAGGAAACAGATGTCTGAGACAAGACTTGAACATTCATACCGATGATAAAGCTTTACAGACATCATTCACACTACTTGAGACTCGCGACTTTGCATATCACGCTCGCATGCTCTTTGCGTTCTTCCCCACGGAGTTTCGAGCGAAAGAGAGACTGCTCGCAGTCCTTTAGTTTTTTGTTTATTTATTACATTTACATTGTACACAGAACTCTGTGGAACTACGACATTGTTTGAAGAATGGCGCATGTGAAGAGAAATACACGTACGTTACTCTGGCTGCAATGTTGAAATAAGATTTCCAAACTCTTGCTTCAGTTTTTCTTATTTTTCTTACGTTTTTATATTATTCTTCTGTGTGCCAGTGGCAGGCAAATAAAATTTTAGGAAAAATCTAAAACAGCCCGGCTACTCAATCTTCATTACTTTACCTGCAGAGAGCTTCTTTGCTACGCTGCGGGCCTGGACACTGTCCCTGCCTTGCAGGAAGTAAATGAGCAGCTCACGCTCCATGGCGTGCTTCCTCTCCAAGGCTCTGACAGTATCCTCAAGCACGTCAACCAGACCAGCCTCTCCTGCTGTAATGAAATTCAACTCGTCTCCCTTCCAATTCCTTGGCAGCTTTCTGCCTTTTCTGTGCTGCAGACGTTCCTTGCCTAACTGCTCTTGGCGTTTACGATCCTCCTTTGGTCTTTTTCATATGAAAAAACCATTAGCATGGCAGTATTTAGTGACGTGATTTCGTTTGACAACATTTCCAAACACCAAGAAGAGAGTAGAAAATACGACGCGCAGCGCAGTATTTTTGACGAACTTCGAGGTGTTTGGTAATGTGGTTAAATACGGTCTTGAGTGTTTAATATATCCTTTCAATCGAAAATAAAACTAAGGAGGAAACAGAGAAATAAAATCGTAAAAATCCATGCTTTTTCTGATCAGATATCCAACCACTGTCATGGTCATGATTTCCCTTGTTTAAACTTGATGAATTATTAATGAGTCTGAGAATATTAATTCACAAGAGGGCCCATATTTAATGTCTTTCATATCTTGCTCATCTTCCTTAAAACGTCAAATGAACAACTTTCATAATGAGATATTACCACACCTTTGAACCTGTGCTTTCAGTCGTTCTGCAATGCCAACAGACAAAGCTGCACTGTCGAACTTTGCTTCTTCCCTGGCACGTAGCTGCTCTCTGATCATGAGTCCGTATTCCGTCAGCTTCTCTTCTGTAGCCATGGTATTGGTATTAGCACCTTTCAATTTAGATGATATCACTTCTTTGTCCTGACGATAGCGTTTCTCAAGGTCCATTAGAAGTTCTTCACTCTTGCAATGACCTTCCATGGCTTCTTCCCGTAACCTTAACAGTTCTTCTTCTATTTCCTTGTTAGTCTTGCCTGCAAAACAGCAATGGCAAAAAAAAAAAAGATTTGTATATAGACTTCCTTTAAATTCTAAAGTAGTAAGATGTAAGTCACACTATCAAGGGTGGATCCAGAATTTTTGAACGGGGGGAGGGGGGGGATGGTTGGTACCTTGGGGTTGCAGAATCAATGGGGCATGCCCCCAAAATGTTGCACGTTGCAATTTGAGAATTGGAACCTAACTGAAAACTGTCATCCCAGAAATACCAGCAATGCACAAAGTAGAAATTACAATGAGGTAACTGTCCAGAGCATTTGCCATAATATTCACAATCGTTTTCAGTTGTTTTTTTTATGTTTGGTTTCTCCAAAAGGGGGGCTAGCCACCCAATCCACCCTCACCCCACCCCCCCTAAATCTACCCCTGACTATACATTTAATGCCAATTTTTGCCAGTAGCTGCTCCTTTTGGCAACCCTAGCTGTTTCCAGAACCAGTATCCTATACCCCTGAGTACTGGAGAGGGGTACTGTACTGTAAGAGTTAGGAGTCTTGCCTAGAAATACAAAACAATGGCCTCGGAAAATGCTTGAAAATGGACCACTTGTTATCAACTTTTCAACAGGCTAACCATTAAGCTGCAGCATCTCCAACAAGTTTTTATGGCATTTACCCTCTAGCAACTTGAATTGGCCAATAGGGCTAGCCCCGAAATTTCCTTCTACTTAGATCTCCCCCTCTCTCTCCAATTCTCCTCTATGTAATATAATACCACATTCAATGACCTTATAAATTTTAAGTTTTGAGATCTGAACCACTAAGGTTGACCTTACCATCCTTCCCCATTTGCTTGATTTGCTCAGACTCTTCAAGTCTTTGAACTTCTTCTCCTATTCGGCTAAAACCCATCAGTGCTAGCAGATTGGAAGAGTACACAAGTCCAGCTCCTGGCAAGCTGTTGGTGCCATCCAACTTGCCATCCTTCCGTAATCGCTGAACGCGCATTTTAAGCTGCATGAAACGCTCCTGTTGTTCATCTTCAGAGAGCACTGTCCACATGCCTTCTCCAACATAGTGCCTCAACATCTCTAGAAGGAGTTTGTCACGGAGGATCTCATATCTGATAAAAGGATAATTATGACAGTTCGGTAAAACTTATGATAGCCAATCAGTCCAGCCCACCAGCTTAGTATATGGGAGATTCCAATATAAATGTCGTACATCAATCAGCATCTAATCAAGGGAAGGGTGTGTTCTCCTGTCACTGGAGCAAAACAAGGCCACCTTCCCCCACTCCCCCTGTTCCAATAAGAAAGGATCTTTGAGGCCCAATCATAATTAATTAATTAATTAATTAATTATAACATACATGTATAGAGGAGAAGCCACATCAGCCCTACATGTATATGGTTTTCATGTAGGTACTCTATCCTGATCAAATTGGAATTTGGAAATTTTGGTTTTTCAAGAAGGAGGGACACCAGAGAACCTGGAGAAATACTCTCAGAGTAAGATGAGAACCCAACAACAAACTCAACCCACATATGACAATGGGTTGGAATATAACCCAGGCCACATTGGTGGGAGGCAAGTGCTCTCACTACTGGGCCAACCCTGCTCCCCATAAGCACCTGTAGATCTGCCGCGAGCTATAGACATGATCAATTAATCAATCATTTTTTATTTCTTAGTGTACACTTTACAGTTGGACTGGCCTGTGGATAGCTAGTGCTAGTCTAGGCGGGCAGTCTGTCAATAGTAACAAATGTTTTTTTTTTTTCAATAATAAATAGAAAAATAGAAAGTTAGGAAAAAGTGAATAAAATAAAAAAAAAAGAAAGAAAAAGTGAGTGCCTTACTTTGTTCGCAGAGCTTGTATTAGATCAGTTGCTGTGACTTTATGTCTGGCTTTCTTTCCTGCTTTCTCATCCCATTCTTCATCCTCATGTAACAGTGCCACAACACCCTCATGATCGAGTCGCTTTGTGCGTCGTTCAGCTTCCTGTTTCAGTTTGTCTGCTTGGTGCATTCTCTCTCTTTCCTCAGCAGCCAGGAAGGCCTCATCCTCCTTTTAAAAAAAGCAAGAAAATGATTTAAATTGCCCAATTTTGACAGGTTAAAATTCTGACTCGGTTTTCAGCCTTGGGAGAAAAAAAACAAATTAAAGAAATGAAGTAATGTGACGTCTTTTGTTTAATTTGCCTTAGTCTAGAAGCTGGGTTAGAATTTCAATACATTGAAATCGGCCTATTTCTGGCCAAAAGGCATCACAAGTAACTGCAAGTTTTAAAATAAAATGAAGTCCTGTATGGACTTCCATAGCAGGCCTTTTGCAGAACCCTATCAAATGACCTTGTCATTAAAATGGCGTATAACTTGTAAAGTTGATGCCACTGACCTAATGTGCATGTGAAGGATAAGGAAAATCTAATAGACCAACCTTGTGTTGGACAACACCCTCTGTTCTAGGTCTCTGGTTAGGACAAAGAACTGGGTGGAATTAAAGACTACTGAAAGCAGTACACCTGGTCTGCAAAATTACGTGTATCTGATATTGATTAGAACAGCAAATGGCTCTGATTTCAGATTCCAGAGTGCTGTATAAGCCATATTGTGCCACCATAACCTGTTTATGATAGGTTCAGATCCCGTTTAGGACAGAGTCACACCCTGTTTGGGGAAGGGAGGCCACAAACAAAGGGTCCTTTCCATTATGCCAAAAATTCCAGGAATTTTGGTCAGAAGTCAAATGGAAAGGTGAATTCAGTTTGGTTCAGTCCGACTGGAATATTCAGGACCACCTGTGGAGGTTGTCCACTTTGATCAGTCGGACCAGTTGGACTGAGATGTGCCGTTCCATTTTGACAAACCGGTTCATAATCATTGCTCTGCGTTTCTTCAGTAGATTTCACTTATGTGGGGAATTTGGGAAAGGAATAAAAAATGGTAAGAGCCATTCCTCTCGGTTGGCCCGGTATGATGGGAAAATGTTGTTCCATTTCCCTCGGGTAGTCACCCAGGTGTCTGCCCAGTTCCTCTGGTGCAATGGAAAGCACCCAAAAATTAATAACCTGTCCAGCAGCACCCATGCAACAAATTCCTTTTCCCTTATCCTTTGAATTTCCACATCAGTTCTATGAATTTAATCTAACCGGGGAAAATGATTCCATGCAATCCCCCTGTATTCTCCAACATGTCCTACGGGCGTAGGCCCGGGGTCCGAGTCGACCTAGCTACAAGCCTGTGATACGTGTATTATATCTTCGGGCAAGAGTTTGTACTGTTATCAACTTTACCTGTAACTTCTCCAATTCCTTCAGATTTTCGTATTCATTATTAACACATCGCAAGCTTACAGCCTTCTCCTCCTCGTCAAATTCCTCTTTATCGCACGGACCTCCATCCACCAGGTTACACAAGAACATTTTGATCTCGTCAAAACACACGTCTGACTCAGGGTACTCGCGTTGAGCAAGAAATGAACGCCAAGTTTTCATTGAAAACAATTCGTTGTGGACAGCTTTAAAAAGTAAAAGTGCAGTTTTGAGGGAAATCCTTCCCTTGCCTTCAACATCAACTGTCTTAAAATCCCAGTAGATTTTCTCCTCCAGAGCTTTGCGCCGATCTAGCTCATTTAAAACGTTGGTAAAGTGCTCTCGCGGGCAAAGACCGCGCGAAGCATCACCACAGACAGTTCTAATGGCGGCTTCTATTTGCCGGGAATCAATCGGCGTAAAGTACAACGATTCGTGAAAATCTTGAAGTTGGTTTGAGGTTAAATACCCTCTCATGTCCGTGTCCAACAAGTCAAACATCAATTCCAGGTCTAGAATGCCCATTTTCACTGTTGATCAAGCTAAACACAGTGCGTTCAAGCTTACAAGCTGATTGCGGAATTTCTACAGTGCCGGAGTCATCTCCGAGACTCCAAAGACTATTTTTCGCCAGTAGCGTTCTTTAGATCCCATAACCATAAGAAGCAAAGATCTCTACAATGCCTTGTTCCTTTGCTGTCATTTTGTGATGCAATGATTTTCGAGGAAAAGTAAAACCTTCCTGCAAAAGAAGAATGCAGCCAGTAGCTATGGCTGCCGTAGTATTTACAGCGTGACGTCAGAGGTCACAAAATGAAAAATCACGGGATGCATCCCGCATCTGCGGGAAGCTGCGGGTCAATTGGAACGAATCATAATAATTGCAGACAGACAGGAAATAGGGTTACTTTATTGACCAAGCTCGTTCGGTGAAAATGGTTGGATATTGGCCTCGTTCTTTTTTTGCGAGCATAAACACGCAAAAAAAGAACTTGGCCAATATCCAGTCATCTTGACCTCACATTTGGTCAATAGCCCATATATATATATTTGTACATTCAAAATATATATTAGGAAATTTTCTGCTTTACACATCTCCTGTACGATTTTACGCCTCGTCAGAAAGTTGTCAGGTAAATACGTCATGATTCCAGAACAAAGTGTCCTCAACTACCTGGAAATGAACTCTGGGAATGAACAGTTGTCCGTAGCAACGGTGTGTAGAATTCCGAAAGAGAGTCGGTCCCGCAGAAGAAAACACTTTTGAGCAGACTAAAACAGCTCAGTAAATCTCCCAAAATGGTTAGGGAGCTGAACATGGATACGCAGCGTCAAAACTTTTGGAAAGAGTCGATCAACAAGGAAGCATATGTGAGGTTAGCGTGGCACACAAGATTTTCCAAAGAATTTGCCCGCGATCCGGCGGCCGCGTCTTTAGCTTCCAAATCCCGTCAACAAGAGGGTCTGAAAATCAACGCTCTGGAGGCGTTCAAACAAGAAATGGAGGAAAAAGAAAAAGAGAAAGAAGAGAAGGAGAAAAGCAGTCAAAAGAAGCTGGAAGAGAAAGCAAAAACAGATCCTGATGCGCTTCTCGTTGAAATGCGCCCAGTTTCCAGCGGTACAAGAAAATTGCTTTATGATGGATTCAGCGCGCTCGGTGGTGGCCGCTATGCATATTTACAGCAGAGAAAGCAGAAAAAACCCGAAATGAAGTATGAATTTCCTATTACCAGTTCTTGGGAAGTTGGATGGAGACTTCAGGACTGTGTTAAACAACAAAATTCACCTTCATTTGGTCGAACTCGAGTGATTCGGGACACGTTTTACCGACCCAACGGTATTCTATACAAGGACACTTAAACTTGTTGATCAATCAAGTTTACTTTACTTTCCTTCGAGATTTTTGTACCTTAATATCTCGATACCAGTCTTTAAAAACAGACAATGCTTTTGTAATATACCGGTGTGCTTTTAATACAGGATGACAGTTTCTCAATCAAGACAATTTAACTTATTAATTTAGACTTCAAGATGTTATTCAACATAAGACCTTTGTCGTAACTTTATATCCTTGGCAAATTTGATAACAAGCAATATCAAAGATAGAGCAGTTATATATTAAGACTTAGATTTTAATTGGTGAGTTTTCTTAATATATTGTTGATTTTCACAAAGTTTTGTATCCTTGCAGAAGGTTTGGTGATGGTGTATTTACTTGAGACACAAAGGAATGTTTTGGATTTTTACAGAATAAAACGATTATGTCACGCGTGAAAATATGCTGGTACGTTCCTTAATTTTAATAGCTTATTAGTCGTGAATGTTTGGGAAATGTCCGAGCAAGTGAGATGATTTTGCCCAAAACTTACATGAGGAGTAAAATATTTTCTGTTAACTTGGAGATATATGAAAATCATAGATATAATTTCACCACTTTCTAGCACCTCTTTTGCTTCTTTCCTAAAACTAGCCTTCATGTAAAATTAAGTTTGATTTGCATAAAAATGAACCTGCAAAGCTTGTCATATGAAAATAAGTTTGATTTGCATAAAAATGAACCTGCAGGCAAAGCAACTTTTAACATGAGTGGTTTTCTCATTTTTGGCATCAAGACAAAGGGATCTTAAAAATAACTTAGAAATGGGGTAAATTTTGCTGCCTCTCATGAAGATGGCAAAGGGAAGAAACAAACATGCAGGTAAACATATTTTCCTATGAATATGGTTTTGCACAAAGGCTCATTTCAACATCAAGGTAAAGAGAGCTTAGAAAGGGGCTATTAAATTTGCTACTTCTCATATCCACATGGCAGCGGGGGCAGGGGGGGTCCCAAATGAGAAGGATGGGGGTGCTCATTGTTCCTTTAGGNGGGGGGGAGGAGAGAAAAAGCCTGGCCATGCAGGGCGTTAGGTACATGTACATATAGACACTTAATTTAGCTAGTTCATCTCCCTCGAAAAGCAGACTAGCACCAGCCCCGTCAGGGAGACAGTGATGGTAACCTTACACCAGAGTGTAAAGCAAACTTGAGCAAAGTGTTGAAAAATTATCTGAAAAAATGTCATGTCTTCCTTTTCCCAACCAACCAGGAACATGCATGAATACTGACCAGATTTTTGCCTATTGTATTGCGCCATGGAATTTTTGTAGCAAGTCATGTAACATGCAAAAATGTGTTGCAGGTTTTTTC